TGTTTTTTTAGTGTTATTATGAAGTCATGGATATAAGCAATTTATATTTGTTTCATTCAGTCCATTGCAGTTATTTTATTGATGCTCAAATTGTCTTTGTCTGCAGTTTGTTTTTTGGTAATTTTTAAAAAATTGTTAAGACTTCCCTGTGCTAATTACAGCATGATAGAAAGAGGAAACCAGTCATTTTTAATGTAAAATAAAAAAGTTTTAAGCAACATACAGTCAAGGACTCTGACATGCAAGGGTTCCGAGTGTTGAAATGACTTGTCCCATCTTAAAAGTATTACCACATTTTAGGCAGAAGAGTTAGGTGAAGAGTTAAAGTTGATGACCACTGGGCCTTATCTCTAGCCACACCTGTATGCATGCCTACAGGCCTTGGGGATATCACAACTAAATCAATGCATTTGGTGACTTTGGCCAAGATCTTGATGTGCAGAGCCAAGGCCATTCTGTTGTTCCAAGTAACTGACACCCTTTCTCCTTTAGGAGGTGTTGGAACTGGCTTTCTCCATCCTATATGACCCTGATGAGACCTTAAACTTCATCGCTCCTAATAAATATGAGGTGAGCAGTGTGCTGCTGCCTGGAACAGCAGAGCCCTCACGGGGACTCTGCAGCGGGGTGGAGGAGGGGCAGAACAGGAGCATCCATCTCAAAGCAGGTGGCCTAGCAGATCATGCAGTCCATCAGATGCTGAGAATTTGCCACACCGTGGGCCTTTCACTGTGTACTGGTCTTCCCAGGTTATTCTTTAGCAACAGCCAAATATTGGAAACATGGGGCCAACTAGGGACAACTTATTCACCTGGGACTAGAAAAATTCTCTTTTCATTTCTTCTGTGGTTCCCAATAAAAATTTGACTTGACAGGTGCTCCCTACTCAGGGTTCCCAGTCACATGTCATCATGGATCCAGCCTGGGCTTTGAAGCCAGTGGATCTGGTTCTTCTGACAAGGGGCCTGCATTTCTACCCACAGCTCTGGAAGATGCTGGACATTAAATGAGTAGATGCAGTTGAAACCCTATGTGCCTGGTGACCTCTGAGAGCCATCAGTGAGAATCAGAGGCCAGGTGTTGAGAAGAACCTACAGTTGGTAGGGTCTGAGCTGCCAGTAGAGTTTCGGTGGGAGGAAAGGAAGGATGCGCAGGCGGGGAGCCAGGTGAACAAGGCCAGGAGGGCAGGAAAACCGCAGCAGAGAAGACAGCAGACTTCAGGGTGGAGGTTGGGAAGAACTGTAAGTTATTCCCTCCCATCTCGACACCTCCAGCTCAATCTCTTTACTACTTTCTTTTTAACACTTATTGACGGATCTTTTTAATTTACTTTTTTTAAAAAATAAAACTGAGATACTTCCATATTCCTGTATGGGTCCTATTTTATCCACCTAACACCCTCTGCCCCATATGCCTCCAGTTTTGGGGACTGACTAGCATTCACTGACCACCATAATCATGACAGATCTGTACCCAACTTCAGGTAGGTGTTGCTCCAGATTTAGGTCTCATTTTGCTTTATTCATTAATTATTTTTAAGCCACATTTAGTATTATTTTAGGGAGTTTAACAGTGAATCTTCCATAAAAACCAGAATTAGTAATTAAAAGTGTGACCACTTCCCACTTTATCTTTGCTATGACCAGTTTTGCCTGTTCTAAACAATGCAAAGGGGACCATGGTAAGTTCCATCAGAACAGGGACTCTGGCAGGATCTCTTGTGCCCCCATGGCTACCATGTGACATTTTTGCAACTTGCTCCCCACAGTACTGCATCTGGATTGATGGCCTCAGTGCCCTTCTGGGTAAGGACATGTCCAGTGAGCTGACCAAAAGTGACCTGGATACCCTGCTGAGCATGGAAATGAAGCTGCGGCTCCTGGACCTGGAAAACATCCAGATTCCTGAAGCACCGCCACCAGTCCCCAAGGAGCCCAGCAGCTATGACTTTGTCTATCATTACGGCTGAGCCTGGAGCCAGAGACCACAGTACCCAGGAGGGATTTGGGCCCAGGAGAGACACTCAGCTCTGGTGCCTTGTCTTTTGCTTGTACAGAAACTACAGTGATGGTGGTGGCCAGTAAATGCCAGCCACTCCTCAAACCCACCTCAGACCACACAGAGCTTCTTCCTGGTCCCTGCCTACTAGGAGTCATGGAGGCAGGGTGCTTTGCCTTCCCATCACCGCAAAGCCTGGGATTGGGCCATGAGGAATGAATGATAGGTGCCCTGCCTTTCAGCCTAGAAACTGTTGTCTTGAACTGGGTTTAACAGCAGCCACCCACCTTCCTTCCTGAGGCTGCTCTTTTTGGCTGGATCCCATGTGAGCCAGAGATGGCTCAGGAAAAGCTGCCTGCAGAGGACAGGTAATCCGGGCATGTTGAGAGCCTTGGAGTGGCTGCCTTTGGGTGGATTTGAATATAGGCCTTGTGCCTTTCCTTTTTCTTCTTCGTGAGGGCTCACTCTAGCCTCATCTGGTGCCAAGATGTTGCTGCTTCTGAGGTTTGGCTCTAACATCTCTGGCCTCCAGAGCTATAGATCTCTCTTGCCCATGAAGGTATCAGAACAGATGGAAGTTCCTCCATACAAGCTCTCCGTCTCTTCCTGGCCAGGCAGAGACCTCCAATCCAAGTCCTGCCCTCTTAGTTTCAGGAACACTGCAGGGAAAGCCCCGCTGAGGCCTAGGTCAGGACTGACTGGTCACAGGATTCCCCCTGGTTGCCCCTACGTTTATCTTTCCTTCCTGGAGAAATCTCCCACTGGCTTGAACTGCAGCCCCTCCAGTTTGTTTTCCTTTGGCCTCCAGACTGTAGGAAGTTTGCCTTCCCTTCTCTCCTTCCTAGTGCTGTGGTTTCTGCCACTGGCCATGATTTCAGGGAGCTGGCTGGGGTCAGCCAAGGCCACAGCTGTGCTATGGGGCTTCCCTGGTGCTTCAGCACGTGAACCACATGCACATCCTCTCCCCGTGGACCTGTTAACACAGTGGCATTCAGTATTGATACCCTGGCATGGTAGGTACTACCCAATGAAGACTGTACTATATAATATTTTCTTTACTATAGGCCATACTTATACAGACATGTATATATATTTATATAATATCTACCTATCCTAGGACGGAATGTTTGCAGGGCAGTAAAATGGGGGGGAAAGTAACACTCCCAATTGTGAGCCAAGAGTAACCAGAGAACAGCCAGGAGCTTCCTGTCAGTAACCAGGTTTTCAATAAATACTCTTTCATGTACAAATTGTGGTTCCTGTTAACAGCTGTTTCCCTGCACTTGCTCCCTGCCCAAGGGTGGAGTCACCTTGGCCATCTTCATTTTAGTATACCTGGGAGGCTACAGAACTCCAGGTGGAGCCATTAGCCACTCCAAAAGTCCCTTCCTCCTCATCCACACCCCCCAGCACACACCTGCTGATGAAGAACGCTCACAGATTGTGTACTGGGACAAAGTGTTTCCAGCTCCGGGTCGCTCTGTACAGCAGGGAAAGGAGTACTGTACACCCCCATGAACACATCCTCCCTCTTCCCCACTGCCAGGGAACAGCTCGAGCACTTCTGCCTTACAAAGAAGACGTTCTTCACCCTGTGTCATCTGTGTTTGGTGCCCAGCCTTGCAGCTGGTGTTTAAGGCTGTTGCTCGAGTCCACAGCCTTGGTGGCATGAATATCAGTAAGGATGAAAATAGATACTTTACTTTCTCTCACCTCTGAGAGAGGAGGGGATGAGAGCAAGTTCTCTCAAAAGGCATAGAAAGTTCATGCCACACAGCCCTTGAGGACTGAAAGACCTGGGGCAGCGACGGGTACCATTGTAGGTGCTTGGTAAGCACTGAATGAACTGATGCCAGCGTGATGCCAGCTGGCAATGGAGACAGCAGCAGTTTGCACGAAGCTCTGCTCACACTCTGGCCTTGAGCCTTCTGTTCAGAGGGGTTGGGAGCCCAGCTGAGTCACAAGGATCCATGTTTGCAGCCAGTCACAGTGCAGAGCCCAGGAGACTTGAGTAGAGCAAAAAGCACAAAACTGGGTCTTGGTGTGCAGCCCTCACCTGCCGAGCCTAGTGTTTCTCACTGTCCACAAACATTGCCCCTTTTAACCCATCCCACAAGATGCATCAAATCTGAATGCTCTTGGCATTCTGGGGGCCACTGCAACCTGTCCCTTGGCTACTTTAACCACTGTAGTTTTTGTTACCTTCTTGAACCACCTGAGCTCCCAGCAAGCCTGGCACTTTCTCAGCCCCTCCTGAGGTTCTTATTTCCTCTGGGATACTCTCCTCTTACTCAACCTCTTGAAATTATTCTTAGAAGGCTTCAGACGAAATATTTCACAAATGTTATTCTGTATCTTTCTAAGTAAAAATTCAGTGTCCCTGACATTACTCCCCAGCTGGCTGCAGCTTCCAGAAGCGGAACCCCAGAGAGATTTCGTGGTTCGCTGCATGCTTGCCTGGCACTGGGTTGGATGCAGATAAACCATCTGTTTTAACAAAGGTAAATAGGGACCACCGTGGGGGTGCTCACTGTGTGCAGGACAGTAGCAGGCACCGCGGCTCCACGACAAGTGGCTGCTTGCGCGCCGGAGACAAGCGATTACAATAGAGCTGAACAAAAGGTGGGCGCGGGCGCCCAGCGCACGAGGGCACCGCGGGGGTCTGGCTGAGCGCGGAGGAAGGCCCCCCCAGCCAATACAGCAGCTCCCGCCCCAGCCTCTGCACATGGTCCCCGCTCCGCCCCCTCCCTGCTCGGCCCCTCGGCGGCTTCCGGCGGAAGCCACCCCTCCCGCGGCTCGGGGGCGGAACCCGGCTCGCACTTCCGGCGGGAGGATCGCGGCTGCGAGCGCCACGGTGGAGGTGAGTGGGCGCGCTGCGGGAGCTCCCGGGAGGGGGTCCGGCTGCGTGGGGGGCCGTCCCGCCTCGGTTCTGCACGCTGCTCGCTCCTGCTGCCGCCCCGGCGCCCGGCCGGGTCCGCGGAGGGGCGGGGACCCCGGCCTCCAGCAGGCCGCCGGGCGGGATCCGACACCCCGACCGGCTCGCAGAGGCCGGGCTCCGCGGGAGACACGAGCCAACTCGGCCACGTCAGCTGGTGGGGAGGTCTGGAGGATGGGGGCCCTTGGCGGAGTCGGAGGACGCGGACTTGATGTGCCTGACCAGCCGCTGGAAGCCGGGCGGCGGGGGCCGGGGACAGCGGTAGGAGGAGGTTGTAGAGGTCGGCGGAGGCCAGGTGGTAGGCGGCCTCCTCGCGGGCCGAGCCGAGGAGCTGGATCCGCCCTCGGAGGGCGTGGTCTGCTTTCTGTGTGTGTAGGCCACCCCTTTGGCTGCTTCGTGGACTCCAGGCTGTGGGGACAAAAGAGGAAGCTCCGCGATAACGGAAGATAACGTGGCTGAGACTGGTTGTGGAAGGGGAAGTGAAGAAAAGTGGACGGGTACAGAAGTCATTGGTGGTGGAGCTGACAGGGCAGGATTTGAGGACTGAGGGCCAGAGGGGGTCAAGTGTTCCTCATCTCTGATGTGTGCATTTGGTTTAAGTAACTGCATTACACTGGCGCTTACTAAATGACTTTGGAGTAGGTTGGGGGCATGGGGAGTAATTTAGATGTATGCTTAGGGCATCTTAAGATTTAGATGTCTGGAGTGGAGCTACCAAAAGGACACTTAGATACACAAGCCTGCACTCACAGGAAAGCTTGGCTAATGTAAAGACATCACTGGCAAGTGGTTTGGGTTGGATGCAGTACTTAGGATGAGAATGAAGAAAGAAGAGAAGCCAGGATCCGACCCTCAGGTGCCAACTCTTACACTGTTGAGTTGAAGAGGGGGTGTCAGCTAGAAGACTGAAGAAGGAGCAAAGAGCAGAAGACAAGCCAGAGATTGTAGGGTCCTGGCATCCGAGTCGTCTTTGCAAAAAGAGGAAGTGGTCAGTGTATAAGAGGAGAACAGAGAGTTGGCCCTTGAGGGGGCAACTGGAGGAGGGTGTAGTAACTCAGAAGCAGTCGGGAAGTGTTCACAGGAAGTGAGAGGAGGTCAGTAGGAGTGGGCTGTCAGTGCAGGGCCTCTGGTTGTTATAACTGTACACCATCCAGCATCGATGCTGTATGTACCTAATGCTGTTGACTCCTTTCCCAGGAGCTAGATGGTTCTGTCTCCCGTTACAGTTGGAGAAACTGAGTTCCAGAGTCTACTCATTTAAAGTAGAAGCATTAGGATTTGCTCCAGGTCTCAAACCTGTACTTTTAAGCACTAAGCTGCACCGCTGTGTTGAGGTTGGTAAAATGGAAGGCAGCCAGGTGCTACGACATTGCACAGCCCTACCCCCACTGTGGCTGCTGCTCCCCAGGGAAAGTGAGGCACACTGTGGAATTCCTCTCTTGGGCAAGTGAGATTTGGAAAAGAGCATCTAACCCCGTAAGTCTGGTCTCCCTTACCACAGAGTAAGAGCGAGGACCTCATCCAGTTTCATGCCTGTATCTCCAGTGCTCCAATACAGTAGTGTGTCATGAATGTACATTGAGTATGTGGCTCTGTGATTTTTGGCTGGCCCCTCTAGCTGACATGAGTCTTTGTGTTTTGGGTAAGTGAATTACCTTTTGAATGCTGATAAGAAACAGTGTTGCTGACTTTGAGATGGAGCTGGGTGGGGGGCGAGTGTATTACAGGGATCTGGACTAGCTCTTGGAAGGAAAGGCATGATTGGAACAGCCCAGGGAGGACCTCGCATTGTTGAGCAGGCACTGTAGTGTAAGCAGAAGGTGCAGGTTGATCCCCGGAAAGGGAAACAGATGGCCCTAACTTGGAAGCCACTGGAAGGACCCATGGAGCAAGTGCTAGGAAGAAAGTCCCCTTAGTATCAATATGCCCTGCAACTGCCTGTGTAGCGTAAGCAGTGACTCTCAACCAGGAGCACTTGTGATCCCCAGGCAGTGTTTGGCAATGTCTGGACACAATTTTGGTTGTTTCGTATAGCGGGGGCTAAGGATATTCCTGCATCTCTCAGGTGTTGACTGGGGATGCTGCTAACATCCTACAGTGCACAAGGATTTATCCAGCCCCGAACATGAGTGACACCAAGTTTGAGAAACTGGCGTAGAGGAAAGTGGGCCTCGAGCTTGCACCATGTGGGTTTGAAGCCCCATTGCTCCACTTGGTCACAGAAGCAGGAGTCTGGCTGGGAGTGGCAGGAGGAGCAGAGAGGCCACCGCAGGAGATTGCTGCAGTCATCTGGAGAGAGGTAGGGGCTGGGGTGGCGGGAGTGGAGGTCAGGAGATGCGATGATTGGGGATATTTGCAGAGATGGAGCTGCCAGGGGTTGAGTGAGCTGGGGACAGAGGAGGAGAGTGGCGGTGCCTGCTCTGCTGGGAAAGGGCAGGAGGGACACCTGAGATCAGACATTGGGATAAAGAGGTCAAGTCGCAGTTGTTCTTCCTCTGAGGTTCATGGTGAATCAGAGCTGGGGTCCACACTGGGGAGGTATGTCAGCTTTAGACCAGGAAGGACAGTGACACAGCCCACTGGTCCCAGCATGTTCCTTTTTTTCTTTGGCAGGACTGGGATTGAACCCGGGGTGCTTTCCCACTGAGCCACCACATTCTCAGCCCTTTTTATTTTTTATTTTGAAGACAGGGTCTCACTAAATTGCCAAGGCTGACCTCAAACTTGCAATCCTCCTGCCTTGGCTTCCTGAGTCACTGGGACTACAGGTGTGTGCCACCAAACCGAGCCCTTCACATATATATATATATATATATATATATGTTTTTTTTTTTTTTTTTTTTTTTTTTTTTTTTTTAATGAGTGTGTCCTAACATAACGCAAAGGGAAAGTAATATGACAATGAAACGTGTTTCTACGTGGAGGTTCCTGGGCACAGTAACAGAGTGAGGATGAAGTGGCCGGCGGCTCCCTTCTCTGTAGAACACCTAGGAACATGGTAGCCACAAACACACCTTCACATAGCCATGGTGTGCCCCAGCTCAGAAACCATGAGTGGTTTAAGTTTGGGGAATTTTCAGTGCATGGTGGAGCCATAGAAAAGCTCTGCGTGTGTACACCTATGCCTGATTTAGGGTCTGGGTTCAGGTGATCATAGGCCAGTCTTCCACCTGCACCTCAAAGTCATACAGATTGTAGAATAATTCTTGGTTCTGTGGGCTACGCCTCATGGTCCTTGCTCCCTGTGTGCTTCCGGTATCCCCCCAGTTCACCACTACAGATTTCTAAAGTTCCTCTGAAGAGAACTGCAGCCCTAGAGCCCAGTTTGCCTTGCAGGTGGGGAAGGGATAGCACTGGTTCCAAGAGTACAGTGCAGGTGTGGTCATTCCCTTCAGACCCACGGGCTGGGGTGGGGTGGGGATCAGCCTTCTAAGAAGGCTTCCAGGAGATGGCATTGCAGCAGGTGGGGCGTCTCCCAAGTAGGCAGTGAGGAGGGGACACACAGCTGAAGCAGAGGTGTGATGCTGGGCCCCAGTCCCTAGGCACAGGTGGGTCCACCGTCTCCAGCCACAAATGCTCATGCATTCCTTGGGGCTGCGGGGTTGCTTGGGTGGCAGGGAGTGGTTTGTTTAGGCAGGACCCTGTGCCTCTGAGAGCAGTTGGTAGAGGGTAAGGCCAGATAGGTACAGGTGTCCTGATCCACTTTCAACCTCTGAAGAAGAGATCAGTCCCCTGAAAATGACGCGCATGTTGTCTGTCGCTGAGTCATCAGACCGAATGGAGAACTTACCCAGTGTCAGGTGTGCTAAGGTTCTGTCTGACCTCAAGTACCCGGCCTTGCAGAGGACCAGACATTACTCAGATCACACCCTGCAGAAGTGCTGGGAAGGGACAGTAGAACCACCTGTATCTCAAGACTGGTGGGTGGGGACATCCCCAGGACCTTTGTGCCCAAGAAAAGCAGGGTGACTGAGGAATGGTTGAAGGGGGGCGCTCGTTCCTCCAGGCAGCAGGAAAGCCTGGTGTGTTGGGAGAACCAAAAGGCAGCCAGTTGGACCCGTCCTGGAAACTGTGAGGCTGAGGCTGGCGAGACTGCAGGGCCAGATCTGGGCCCTGGGAGCCCCAAAAGGGTTTTGGCCTTTGTCCGTGAGACAGCACTGGTCCAACACAATCAGATTTACGTGTTGAAAAGGTCATTTTGATAACAGCCCATGGAGAACAGCCTGCAGTGACGCGGGAGTGGACTGACTAGGGCTCTGTGAGTGCTGGACTGGGTGTGGGAGCCGCAGGGCCACCACAGCTGTCTTCTCATCTTTCTAGCAGCAGAACTGGGGTCCTTTGAGCCCTGCACCCAGCTAACCATGGAACAGGTCGGCCTGGGCCACCAGCCCCTTAGGTGAGGACTCCACCCGGGGCTCCACTGACCATTTCAGACATGGAGGCGAAGAGAACCCTTCCAGCCAGGGAATCTGCTTGTTGAAAGTCGTGGTCCAGCGCCGCTCCTCTGTGAGCTGTCTTCAGGAGAGGTGCTGTCCCGTGGCCCAGGAGCGGGGGCACACAGCCTCCGCGGATGGGGAGGTGGGCCCTTGACGTGGCCTTTGTGTGGAAGGCAGTGTTGACCCTGGGGCTGGTCCTTCTCTATTACTGCTTCTCCATCGGCATCACCTTCTACAACAAATGGCTGACAAAGGTAACTGAGGCCTCACCAGTGCAGGCTGCTGGGGCAAAGGTGGCCACAATTGGCATGGCCTTATTGGCCCACAGAGGCTCTTGGGCAAGGCTGATGGACCAGCCAGCGGGTGTTGAAGTGGAGACAGCACCAAACTGGGAGTGAGCCCCAGGGTGCCACTTCTCTTTTGGACCTCCACAGTGGGGACAAAGGGTCTCTCAGTCTAAGGAACTGGAATGCAGCTGAGAGCCCCTCCCTGCAAGCCAGGGGTGAGCCCCTCCCCACTGACAGCAGCTGGAGGGAGGAGGGGGCGCCAGCCCGGGGCAGTCTCTGAGGCGCGGGGTGTCTGCTTGGGCTCTGCAGAGCTTTCACTTCCCCCTCTTCATGACGATGCTGCACCTGGCCGTGATCTTCCTCTTCTCCGCCCTGTCCAGGACGCTGGTTCAGTGCTCCAGCCACAGGGCCCGTGTGGTGCTGAGCTGGACCGACTACCTCAAAAGAGTGGCCCCCACAGGTACGTGTCCCGGCAGAAGGAGGGCTGCTAGAGGACCAGAGAGAAGCCCTCTGGGCCTTGAGGTCAAGTCCCCTCTCTGCCTCCCTCCCCTCCCCTCGCCCCACCATCTCTCGAGCTCTCCCCGACTTCCCCTCCCGCCCCACACACAGAAAGCCCTACGGGGGGCAGGGAGCCTGCAGCATGTGCGTGCGCCTCGCAGGCAGGGTCCTGGCCCCGCGCCCTGTGGTGGGCTGTCAGAGGTGCCCCAGAACACTGAGAGTGGAGCCTGACCTGGGCCTGCCTGTCATCTGGGTCCTAGGTCAGGTGTGAGTAGGCAGGTACTGAAGGACAGGTGGCACCAGCTGGTGCTGGTGTGTCACACACCGAGCAGTGTGTGAAGTTTGAAAGGCCACTCGCTGCCACCCGAGAACCTGGAGGGCCAGGTGCCCTGTTGAGTTCATTTGGTCCCCAGGGAGAAGGGTTTTCACAAGAGGATTGACTGGCTGAGAGGTTCCAGTCTAGTGGGGGCGAGGATATTGAAATCAGTCAACACATGAGCATAGCACCCCCCAGTCAGGGTGGACTCCAGCCCGGTGGCCCCACTTTAGCCAGATGTTAACCACATAATTGCTGGTAGAAAGGAAAGCCTCGGGTTCCCAGAGAGGAAGCCAGAGTGGGGTGAAATGGCCACCTCCAGGACGTAGCGGCCACCTGGCTGGATGTTCCTGTGCCACCTCAGCCCCGGGCGCCCCTTATCTCCACAGCACTGGCAACAGCACTTGACGTGGGCTTGTCCAACTGGAGCTTCCTCTACATCACCGTCTCGCTGTGAGTACCGGCTGCCGTCTGCGCACCTGGCCGATGGGCCAGCCACTCCATCACTCTCTGGGACCAGCCCTTGCTCTCTCAGCTCCTCCCTGGCACCTAGCAGCTCTCCAAGAAGTCTCCAGCCTCTTCCGTAAGCCCAGCGCAGAGGGGACGCTGTGCCTGCCGGGCAGCGGGGGAAGCCAGGGGATGCGGACAGAGCACTGCGGTCGAGGCAGGGACAGAACAGCAGAGCCGAGGAAGGGGCTGGCCACAGAGCATTGGCCACATCAGCGCCCAGTGTGGGCACGGGCTGGGTGATAGCTCGTTGCGTCGCGTTGGCTTCAGAGGACACGGTCCTCTTCGTGTCCTCTCGTCTCATCTGTTCTTCCTTTCCTGGTCTTGGCCAAGGGCTAGATAAAGGATAGAACTCCTCGATGTCAGACACGCAGCCTTGTCTCCCAGTGATAATCGGGGGCCTCAGAGAGTCTTCCGATGACAGGTCCCTTATCGGCCCAGGTGACTCAGGAAGGCTCCTTTTGATCTTCTGTACCCAGATTGCCCTGCTGCCCTGAGCAGCACCACTTGCTCTCTGGAAAGTCAGCCTCCTCCCCCTTCCAGCCTGCTGATCTGTGCTCTGGGCTCTCTTCTGGGTGGCGGGTCCTAACCCCGACTCCCGCAGTGCAGTGTGGGTGATTTCCACTTCCAGGTACACAATGACCAAGTCCTCGGCTGTGCTGTTCATCTTGATCTTCTCTCTGATCTTCAAGCTGGAGGAGCTGGTGAGGCCCCCACATCTGTTTTGTCCTTCCTACCCGCTGTGTGCCCAGAGTAGAAGAGGGAATCTGAGCGGTGACTGGGACAGGCCCAGCCCAGGTGGCAGTAACTCCCTCTTCTGAGAAGGGACCTAGGCATAGGGACAATATGCAGAGTATTTAGAAACAAATCAGGAGGGTCCTGGAGAGCCCTGCTGTGCAAAGCGGTGGTCCTCATTTGGTGGCCAAGGAGGCCGAGAGGCCACTCGGGACTTGGAACAGATCTCAGAAAGCACTGTGGTATTTTAGACTAGGAAGGGATACTGAGGACATGCCAGCTGTCAACCCTTCATACGTCAGTGGGCAAGGGCTGTCTGCGACTTCCCTGGGAGGGTTGAGGTAGAAGATCTCCTGCCCCAGGGGGAGCCAGGGGAGATGCTGACCCCCGGCTCTGGGTGTGGCGGACCCCTGAGTCAGCTGCACCTGCTCCCCTCCTCCCAGCGTGCGGCCCTGGTCCTGGTGGTCCTCCTCATCGCTGGGGGCCTCTTCATGTTCACCTACAAGTCCACCCAGTTCAACATGAAGGGCTTCTCCCTGGTGCTGGGGGCCTCGTTCATCGGTGGAATTCGCTGGACCCTCACCCAGATGCTCCTGCAGAAGGCTGAGCTGGGTGAGCCTGGGCGGGGCAGGTGCAGGCAGGCTGGAGGCTGTGCAAGCACCAGCCAGACCTCCTGACCTCTGTGTCCTACCCTGCAGGCCTCCAGAACCCCATCGACACCATGTTCCACCTGCAGCCACTCATGTTTCTGGGGCTCTTCCCTCTGTTTGCCGTATTTGAAGGTATGTTGGGCCAGCCACCTCGGGGCACCTCAGAACAGCGAATCCCAGATCCCTGTGTGGTGCTAGTTTTAGAGGTTGCCAACGTCGAAGACGCAGCGCCACCCCTGTACCCGTGTTGGGACTGGATAGACCCATAAGCAAGTGGCTAGAATCCAGTCTGATAGTTGCTGCAGAAAGAGTGTGAAACATAAGGACAGTGATGGTAATGACTGTACAGAGTGCTGAAGGGACTATTTTCATCTTTTTTTGTTCTTCTTTTTCCAGTACTAGGGATTGAACCCAGGGGCACTCTCCCACTGAGCTACACTCCAAGCCCTTTTGATATTTTATTTGAAGATAGGGTCCCACTAAGTTGCCCAGTCTTGCCCCAAACTTGCAATCCTCCTACCTTAGCCTCCAGAGTAGCTGGGACTATAGGCCTGCACCATCACACCTGGCTATATTAATTATTTCAAATACTTATTTTTTTATGAAAAAAATACATGAATTTATTTTAAAAAGTCAAACAGCTCAATAAGAAATAAAACTACACAATAGCAAAAACATATTACAAATGCCAGAAAACATTCATATTTCCTGTAGGTCAGTAAATTGGGATAATCATTTTTGGAAAATAATTGGCATTATCTAGTAAAATTAAGATTTAGGTTCCCTACCTACAAATTTCTACTTTAGTGTATCATTGAAAGTAACCTGGCATATACACAATAGGAAGTGTGCATGTTATAGTCTGGGTGTGATTTGTCTTCCCAAAGATTCATGTCCTGGAAGCTTGGTCCCAAAGTGGCAGTGTTGAGGAGCTGGAAGCTTCAGGGGTGGATCCTAGTGTAAGGTGTTTAAATCACGGGGCCTCCATTCTCAGAAATAGATCAATGCTGTCTCACAGGAGTAGAACAGGACTGGGTAGGGGTATTAGTTTCTGAAGAGCTGATTGTTTTATATATATATATATATATATATATATATATATATATATATATATATATATATATAGTTTTTATATATATTTATATATACATGTATATATTATATATAGATATATATTGCATATAGATATACGTGTGTGTATGTGTGTCAAACACTTATTAAGTCCTCCCAAAAAACTGGCTGATACTGTAATTGTCACCTGGTTTTGCAGATGAAAGAAACTGAGGCTCAGAAGGGAAGAGAGCTTGCCCAGGGTCCCAGAGCTCACAAGGAAGCCAGAATTTGGACCCAGCCTCCTGGCTTCAAGCGGTTAAGCCCACTCTTCCCTATCTTGCATGCTGCCCCTAGGAGGGCAGAGTCACCGCCTGTTTTAGGAGGGTGGAGTGAGCGAGTCAGAAAAGTTCCCCAGACCATCCGTGTATTTTGGCAGATGAGAGGAGTGGGTGGACTAAGGCAGGCAGGGTGTCCTGAGAAGCAGGACAGGAGGTTCACTCACATGTTGGCCTGTAACTGTGTGGGATGGGCTGGGCAGGGGCCAGCATGCAGGAGCCTGGGGCTGGGGCTTCCAGAGGAGGAGGAAAGAGAACTTGGAGGTGGGGCGGCACAGCACCACCTTCTTTGCTGGTTTTGGGGATTAGTCTTTGTTCTCTGTCTATTTATTCTTCCTCCCAGAGTCGCAACTGTTCTCAGGGTCATTACAGAAAATTCTGTCCCACATCCATTTAAGTTTCAAGCAGTGAAGCATCTCCAACCTCCCTGAGAAAATTATTCTGCAGCCCGTTGTCCAGGAGACTTCTGTTCAGAGCCTCATGTTTTTCCTTTTTAAAATCCCTCCCCATTCCTTCATTATGCCCCCTCCACCAAACACCACTCTCCCGGCCCCCCTGGGTGTCTGCACCATTCCCCCATCTGCAAACCCTCATCCGAAAGCCCCTGGTAGTCGCCACTTAGCAAAGCTGCATGGATTTAGCTCCTTTAATCTTTTCTGGTAAATTAATCCCCCAAGCGCCTTCATTACTTATGTTGCTCTTCCCCAAATTCCCTTCAATTTGCCTGTGCCTTGGCAGCCCTGCGGAGCCAGCCCAAGCTGGATGTCCTGCATTGTGAGTCCACTGGCTGCCGGGGGGACAGGGGTGGGCCGTCCTCTACTTCTTTGGTGCTTCCTTCCAAAATGCCCAAGTGCTTGTCAGTGCCCAGCTCCCACATGTGTCTAGTACAGAGCTCACTCCACCCTCTGCTGATACACCATGGGGATCTTGCTGGGGACCCAGAGAATTGTCCCTTCAGAGGGACAGTGTTGGAGGGACTCCTAAAAGTCCCTAGACAAAATTTGTGTTTTGTGCAGTCATCTGTTCACATAGGTGAATGTTTTCTTTTTGAGAAATGCTCATCAGCCCTGGGGAGGCTAAGGCAGGAGGACTGCAAGTTCAAGGCCAGCCTTGGCAACTTAGCAAAACTCTGTCTCCAAATAAAGAAATCAGAAGGGCTTGGGGTGTGTCTCAGTGGTAGAGTACCCCGGGTTCAATCTCTGGTCCCAAAAGAAGGGAGGGAGGGAGGGAGTGAAGCTCCATGGCGCTGCTTGCTAGGGAAATCCAATCCAGTTCCATCCTGTCATTTTATCAGCAGAGAAATTGAAGTCCAGAAAGGGGACATCTTGGCCCAAGTCCCACAGCTGTGTACTAGCAAGACCTAGGTTTGGGCTTGGTGGCAGGACGCTTGCCTGTCATCCATGAGGTCCTGGATGCCGTCCCCAAAATGGCAAAAAAAAAAAAAAAAAAAGGCCAGCAGACTGTGTGAAGGAGCGCCAGCCGCACCCTCCAGGGAAGCCCGGTCCACGCCACGCCCTGTTGGGACCTCGGTCCACGCCACGCCCTGTTGGGACCCCGCCTGAATCACCCTGGGGCTCCAACTCCTCCACTCTCCCTGGATCTCAGCCACTTGGTGGGATTACTCTGTACCCCTCGTTCTTTCCCCCAGCTGGATGGTCAGCAGGGGCTCCGTGTGTCGTCCACCTCGGTGATGACAAGGCTGGTTGCTGGACAGGGCAGCCCTGGCCCGGCCTCGGCCTCCCGCTCTCTCTCCCCGCGTTGCTCCAGGTCTGCACTTGTCCACATCTGAGAAAATCTTCCGCTTCCAGGACACGGGGCTGCTCCTGTGGGTACTTGGGAGTCTCTTCCTTGGCGGGATTCTCGCCTTCGGTTTGGGTTTCTCGGAGTTCCTCCTGGTTTCCCGAACCTCCAGCCTCACTCTCTCCATTGCTGGCATTTTTAAGGTACAGACTTGGAAGTGACCCTCTTTTCCCTTAGAGGGCCCATAAAGGCTCCTCACCCAGCCTCCACCCCAGCTCCGGCACTCCTGGGCCCTTTGGAGAAGAGACCAGAGTGTCCTGTTCAGTGACAGCACTATGCTCCTGTCTCTCCTCTCTCCACCATCCCCTCAGACCTGCAGAGCTGCTCCCAGCCAAGGGTACACAGTGGGGATTCAGGGCCAGTCTGACCCTTCTAGACCCAGGCTGCGGTTACAGTTTACTCCAGTGCCAGCCCCTGGACGTGTGGCAGTGTCCTGGAGCCATAGGTTGAGAAGCCCCCACCCAGACTCATCAGTAGAGCTCCATGATTGATTGGCAGTGTCTGCCATGGGCCCAGCAGGAGTTGTGTCATGCAAAGTGCCACCTATTGTCAGTCTTAGAACTTTTCTGCTGCCTTGAAGCCCTCCCTGCTGTCCCTTCCTCCCCCTCCCCCACCATCGCTGCAGCTCCCTGCCCAGGACCAGGAGGGGTCTTCTCTTTGACCAGGCAGACTCCACCCTGGAGCAGAAATGAGGTCCCCTGAGGGCCTTCTGGCTGGCAGCCAAGGGATGAGGCATAAGCTGTGGTTCTGAGAGTGCATTGTTCACCAGTCCCACCTGCGGTCACTGTTTATGAAGGACCCTGGGACAGTGTATCCTCAGAGCCCAGCACAACCCTGCATTTGCCCGAAGGAGCTGAGGGCTACCCATCCACAGGTGCCCGTGCCAGGGCAGCTAACCCTGTCCTGAGCCCTTGGTGCAGGCTCCACACCAACCCTGGGTCTGTTGTGCCCCTCTTTTTCCCAGCAGAGTTCTGTGACATTCTGCCTCAGTAGCAAAGTGGGGCTAGCAGGAATGCCGTGTGGGGAGCCTGTCCCTCACCTCTTCACCCTCCAGGCCTGCCAGCCCTGCTCTGGCCAGGAGTCCTGGGGGTTGGGATCTAGTCTGAGCTAGGCAGGCCCCGCCCTCCTCTCCCCGAGAAGGAGCGCCCCCTGTTGACCACCCCTGCCCACTTCTCTGCCCACAGGAAGTCTGCACTTTGCTGCTGGCAGCTCACCTGCTGGGCGATCAGATCAGCCTCCTGAACTGGCTGGGCTTTGCCCTTTGCCTCTCGGGAATATCTCTGCATGTGGCCCTCAAAACTCTACACTCTAGAGGTAACTGGAGCCTTCCAGAGGCCTCCATTCTCTGATGTCACTCCCTGCGACTCTTGGCACCCCTGATTCCCCCTCGCCCAGCCTCGCCTGCCCGCCCTGAAGGGCTGGCTCTCGGCTCCCCCCCCCCCCTGCTGCTGAGGCTCAGGGAGTGCGCCATTATCGGGTCCATAACTGATTCTGTCCCCAGGTGAAGGTGGATCCAGACCCCTGAAGGGGCTGAGCTCCAGCCCTGACCTGGAGCTGCTGCTCCGGAGCAGCCAGCCAGAGGATGAGGACAATGAGGAGGAAGACTACTTCGTGGCCCAGGGGCAGCAGTGAGGGGCCAGCGGAGCAACTGCAGGCTGCTCTGTGACCAGCGCTGCTCTGAGCACTTGGCCACAACCCAGGGCCCTGTGGCTCTTCACAGCAGCTGGGAGCAGTGGCCTGGGAGTCACCTGTGGCGGGCTAGGTCAGGGGCTTGTGGCTCCTACCCCTGCCTCAGAGCTTGGTCAACAGGGTGAGCACCAGGCCAGCCTCGGCCTGGCTGGAGCTCGCCCACGCTGCGCCTGGATCCTGGTGGAGAAGAAAGTGGTGGGTCCTTCTAGGCCCTTGGCCAGGCCCTGCCCAAGACTGATGTCAGAAGCACAGCGGCCTTCTAGGGGGGCTGACTTTGGACTGCAGGGCAGTGGGGGTGTGACGATTTTGGGGCCTCATCACCTGGACTGCATCTTTCTCAGCAGATGTATTTATAGTTTGGAAATAAATGGGTTTATGGTCCAGTGGCCACTCACATTGCCTAGGGGAGTGGGGGCAGGGAGGGCTGTGAAGGCCTGACCTCACCTTCTCTGTCCCTGTTGGGGCCTTCCCTAAGTGACCAGGCCCATCCTGGCCTCCTGCATCTCCTGCTTGCCCCTCTGCAAGGCCCCCCATACCTGCAGGCAGAGAATAAATGAGTATCTACTGAGCACAGCACCCTGGGGCTGAACATGTTTTTTACAGCCTATATTTGAATCCTGGCTTTGTCCCTTTCCATGTGACCTTAAGTGAATACCTAACCTCTCTGTGAAATGGAAGTAATGTGAGTCTGAAGATTCTTGCCAGTATTTGTAACAGATTTAAATCTTAGGCTTATTGTTTCAAACCTTTCATCAACCAAGAGATCAGGACCTAGAAAAGACAAAGCTTGCCAAGTGAGTGGGGGGCCTGCGCCTCCATCTGGGTCCTGTGCTGCCTCCTGTGAGGATCCCTGGCCCGCCTTCCACGCACTTCCCTCCACCTGGCCAACGCTTCTCCACTGTGCCGTCCTCTCGCGTGTTGTGGGCAGGGAGCAAGCCCTAGCCTGATACCTGTGGCTCCCAGCCCCAGGCCTACAGCCAGGGCTTCCCCTGGGGGGCTCGGGCGCTCACAGCAGGTGGCGCCATTGCGCCGGCTACAGCACTCGGCCACCTCTGCAGGCCTGCCACCTCGTCCAGACTCCTCCAGGCAGAGGAGGCGACTTAGGGGGGACCAGGACGGGGCGCTTATAAAAGGCTAGCCCTGTTGTATCTGCCAGAACTCACTGGCCTGGGCCTAGGGTGTAGAGCTTTTAGAAGGGTCTGCAAACTTCCTGTAAAGGGACACATGGTAAACATTTTCGGTTTGGGAACCATATGGCATCTGTTACAACTTCTCAACTCTGTTGTAGCGTGAAAGGAAGCCAGAGCCAATACAGAAACAAAAGGGTGTGGTTGTGTCCCCGTGAAACCTGACTTGGGGCGGAGGGACTGAGACAGTGGCTGGCTGCTGTACCCTGCTGTGAAGGGTCCTCAAGTGTGGAGCCAGGTCCCCTGCTAGCGGGACAGGCCCTCAGATCCTCCGTGGAGGACCAGCCTCCAGTTCCCATTCCCTGCTGACGCTGGCAAACAGGCTGCCCACCCCTTGTCTGTTTCTGCCCATCTGTCCACCTTGGATCCTGCAGGTTCCGGGGCCAGGGCCCAGAATGAAAGGAAGCTGGGTTCCTGCTGGAGGAAGGGAGCCTGCTGGGGAGGTGGCCTCAGCCTCAGGGCCCGCTGCTTCTTGGGGCGGGAGTGCCTGCCACTGCCCCAGGCGCAGGTGGATGAGCACTTCCTGCCCCCCCCACACACACACACTGAGGGAGCGCTGTCTGGTGCAGTAATTACAGGGTGCAGCACCGGGCTCCTGACGCACTCCTGTTGGCCTCAATGACAGCCCCTCACTTAGCAGCAATTACCAGCCAGGCCTAGAGGAGGGCTCCCTCCCCTACTCCCCCGCCCCTCCGCCTGGCCTCCCAGGCCAGACAGCCTTCACCCGGCTCAGCCCTCCAACCACCCGTGCTGTCTGCAGCCATTGCATCTCGGGGCTGCAGCGTCACCATGGAAACTCGGTGCTTGCACAGGTTGACAGGAGCTGAGGATGTGACTGGTCTCTCCAGGCTGTGGTGTCTGTCCCCAGCAGAAGGGGAGGAGGGAGGAGGGCTGACCTGCGGGTTCGGGTTTTAAGTGCTTACATGCCCACTGCCTCTCCCAGGAGCCCACGGTGGGAGGAAGGTTAATGCCCCCAATATATGAGGACGTCCGCAGTTGGCATTGTAGCAGGGACTTGCGCGAGTTGGAGTCTGCTGTGGGAGAGGCCTGAGCCACCAGGCAGGACCCTGTGTACCTGCATCTTCATTCTGGTCCTCGCCTCAGCCTTGGGGGCCGGATCATCTGCGGCTGTATTTGCTTCAATCTGCTGTGAAACCCTGAAAGTCCCGGTGGCATGAGAGTAGTTACACGGCAGCGGGAGAATTCTCTCAGTGGTACTTGCTGCGTGGACTAGCTATTGAGATGGGTTCCAAGTTTCCAGTGCAGAGAAACAAAAGTGGGGACCCTCAGATCATCCATTTAGGGCAACAGCATTCAGACAGTGCTGGCCATGTGGCAGGCACTGCTGGACTTGGGGACAGAGATGTTTGTCCTTGGAGATGCCGGCCCTTTCTCCCAGCCCAGACTGGGAGAAGAGACAGGCAGAAGATGGGAATGGGGAAGGAAGGACGAAGGGACCAGCCACTGGACGCCCTTCACACAGGTTAGTGGATCCTGAGCAGCCCAGTGCGGCAGGAACCGCTGCACCTATTTCATGGTTGCAGAAACTGAATTCGCAGAGGCAAGGCATGAGAGCAGCTAAGAATTCATCCTGGGGACACAACCAGATTCAGATTCGCTTTTCTCTGCCCTGTGATCTCAGCCATATTGCTGGTCCTCTCTTCCTTGTCTATAAAGAAGGAATGATAATCTATAAGTGGCTGTAAAGAGAAAATGATATGCAAAGTGGTTGGCACGGTGCTGGGCACATTCTCCTTAGCTCTCAGTGAACATCAGGAGTGGAAATGTCACACACCGTTCCCAGTGACAGCATGAAAGAGGAGTGGCCAGCACTAAGGCCCCACCACCATGGTCCCCATCCTTGCCTCAAAGAGGAGCCACTTGGACATTTGTTCTGCAAAGGAATTTCCAATAGTGGGAACTAAATGGGGGGTTTCTAGGTTTTTACTTGGAAGTTACTGCCCGAGTCCCGGGGCGGAGCTTAGCTCAGTAGAGCACCTGCCTGGCGGCATGCAGGAGGCCTGGTTCCATCCCGGGACCTGGGGGCTATAAGAAGAGGCTGTGCCCACCACCAGCGGCGTTCACACCAGGCCTCAGTCTCCCGGCTTCCCTCTGAGCCTGTCCCCCCTGCCAGCCCAGCCCTGACATCAGCCAGTCACCTTCCCCTGCTTCGTGGTAACCAGGTAGCCTGACTTCTGTTCCCATGGTTATTTACAGTTTCGTTGGCAACTAGTACATTTTCCTGAACAGGCCCCTGAGTCCTGCTGGCTTCGGCTGGTGGGGTGTCCCTTTCTCCCGATACCTGATGGGAACTCCCCTGCTGGAGTCAACAGAGTCCCGGAACAGAAGACCGAGAGAACGCATTAGCGGGTATTCAAACAAGGTTTCTGCAGTTGATAAAAGGAGTCAGTGACAGGTGACAGTAACACACCCACTGTCCCTGTCCTCAAGGAACTTCTGTGGGCCTTTAAGCCCAGTGGTTCCCTGGAAAGCAGACTTAGAGATGAAGACTAGAGCAGGCTGCTGACTAGAAAGAGGGACTTGCGGACGAGGAAGCTGAGCGTCCCCAAGACAGGCCCCAGCCCCACAGTTGTGCCCTAGAGCTGGAATGGCCCAGCAGAGGTGCCCTGAGACAGGAGACAGGCAGTGACCGGCCCCTGGAAGGGGCCTGACTTCAGGTGTGCCGGTTATCTTCAAACCAAGAGAACCCCCCAGGAGGTTGACAGCCAGGCCTGTCCCCTTGCCATGCTCCAGGGGGATAAGGCCTTCATGCCCAAAGCGGGGTCTGAGCATGGCCCCACAGTGTCCATGGTACCCAGGGCCACAATCTGCCTCCAGAGACCACCAGGATCCATGAAAAGGGACGCTGCACCTGGCATGTGTGTACATACGTGTATTTTCCTGGGAGAGTCCTGGATCCCCAAAAGACCAAGAACGGCTGGTCTAAGGAAAGCCCCAGACTTGTCCAAAAGTTCAGTGGGATCAGAGATGCGTATTCCAGGTGTTCAGCGGGAAGTCTGGATGAATGGGCGATGGGTGGATGGATGATGGATGATGGCTGGACGGGTGGAAAGGTGGATGGGGGCGGCTGGTGAATGGGTGGATGGGTGGATGATGATGGGTGATGGATGAGTGGGTGGACAGGTAGATGCCACAATTGAAGAATGTCCAGGAGGCACAGAAAGGGGAGGAATCAATTCTGCCTGGGTCTATCTGCATGGGTGGGGGGACTTCCAGGAAGGGCTGAGTCTTGAGAACTAACAGGAGTTTGCTAAGCAAGGCACAGAGGTGTGGATGAGCACGAGATGAGCACAGTGTGTTGGAGGGAAGAATTAACTCACCATAGCTGGCTGGAGGTGTCTGTGGGGAAAGAGGGGTGGGGAGGTCCACCTGCCTCTGAAGAGCCCCCAGGACCCAGGAGGTATCCTGCTAGGGACTGTTCCACTGGGTTCTCTGGAACAAGCAGGGATACCTCCCTCCCCCCACCTCACTTAACAACTGGGGGTATCTCTAAGTTAGGGAGGGGCAGGAGGCTGATCCTAAAGAGAATTCCGTGCCAAGAGGAGAAGCACCAACCATCTCATCCACTCGCCACCTCCTCTCCCACCCCAATTTCCTTTAGTCCTCCTGCAGCCCACCCAGAAGTCCTTGTTATTAGTGGTCCCGGTTTGCAGATGAGAAACAGGATCAGAGAAGCTAAGTGACTTGCCCAAGGTCACTCACCTCAGTAGCCACCAAGGGAGCCCTCTCCTGGGGCTCACCCATCCCAGAGTCCCTCCCCTCCCCCGCCCGCACTCTGCAGCTTCTGGTCTGAAGGGAAGGCAGGCTCTGCCTCCTAGGGGTGCGTCCCTCTGGTTAGGGATGAGAATAATGGCCCTCCGAGGGGGCCCTGGGTCTAGCTGGGCGGCATCCTGCTGGTAATATTTTGCCCAGGGAGGAATCTCCCACTGAGCCCTGCTCCGTCCTGTTCCCGGGGCTGCCCCATGAATTAAACATGCCCCCGTGGTTAACTCAGTAATGCTTTTATTAATAGTTAATTACTCAACGCGCACTGGGGAAATGAGACTCACTCAGGCCTCGTAAATTAAGGCACTGATCTCGTGAAGGAAGCCGATGGGAGTTCAGTGCCTGGCCCTTCCCCCGCTGCACCTCTGGGCTTGCCATTTAGTGGCGCTAAATGCTGTCCCCCACCCAGACGTGCTGGGGTGGGGGGCGGGAATCACAGGGGGAGCTGGGAAGTGGAGGAAGAACATCTGCTGGGCTTCCTAGAGAGAGGGCCCAGGGAGAGGTGGCCAAAGTGTCAGCCAGGAAACGTTATTCTGCACCTTGGTGGCTTGTCATCAGCCTGTGTTCCCTGTCATTGCCGGGGACTCAGTGCAGCCTCCAGGG